GGGCAAGAGAAGGAGGTGATACATTCCTCTTAGTTGAAAAAGAGAAATTCCAATAGATCTAGCAATTCAGATTGATTGTGATTATTACTGTATTCTGATATAATGCTTAACTGGACCCAGTCTCTATTAAGTATTCCCCAGCCTGATGCCCTCCATATTATTTAGACACTACTCCTGCAGTTTTGAAAGTACCATGTCAGGGAGGGTTTCTCCAACTATTCTTGTATATGGGTGCACAAAACAAGAAGCCCCCCCCCCCCCCGGAGTTCCTATGGAATAACGTGGGGTTTCAAGTGTTCCATATAATAACATAACAAAACCTGAATGATTCCAAGTGTTTACCAGCCTGTCAGATTTCTTTCCTTGCAGTCTAAACTGGCAATAGTTAATCCACAAGAATCTAAAAACTTTGATTAATAACATTTAGTAGAAGGAAAGTTAAGGCTACAACACAAGAATTGCAGTCAGTACTGTACTTTCAAATAACACATGTATAGCCGTTTAGAGTGACGAAACTCTTGTCTGCTTTCTTCCCACTTTTTTGGTGTAGATCTAAAAGCTTGCCTTAAACAAGGGATAAACAGGGATAAACAGTTATCCCTGTTTCGATAACTTTCAACTCTTTTATCAGCCCAGTATAAAAAGTAACTCACATTGTCTTGGGAAACATTGAGAGTTTGGAACAAGCCTCATGCTCCTGGATTTACACACAAATGCATTATGTGCTCTATGTAGCATGTATAGGCTCAGGACAAACATACCCTGTCTGTCCCAATGATTGACATCCACCAAAGCCTTGCTTGAAGTGTGGAGATAGTCATGGTAGAGCCAGGTAAGAAAGGCAGTAGTGTTTGAATCCTATATTAGCTCAAGTGGTGTTATGGTTACAGAGGCTCTGGGATGCATCATTTAGGTAATAGCATGACTGGAGAGTTCCAGTGTGGATCACTCAGATGATTACTATTAGGTCTTCATGAAGCATGCATCACTCAAGTGATACATAACTATAAGTCCTACACTGTATATCACCCAAGCGATGTGACCCAGTGATTGACTCTGAAATGTGATACAGGTAAGTTGGTGTCTGAAGAACACCACTTTTCCCTCATCACTGATCATATCTGAGCAGCAGGCAGGTAGCTACCAGTAATCTGCAGGGTTAGTGAAGGTACTAACCCTCAAGTGACAAGTCAGAAAAATGCAGGAAGGAGAGATTCTTATTGAGGGATATGAGGACTTCCCCAGTCAGCAACCAGATTTGAACAATGGGTTAGCGTGTCACCTTTCCTGGGGAGCACCCACTTGCACTAGATAATGTTTGATGAGTAAGAAACCCCTACCACAGGTAGTGGTTGCAATGTTTTGTCAGATTTAGTAATGAGGAGGATGTCTGCTATCATGCTTTTCTCTGGCTTGCTCAGTTAGCTGTCTGAGACAACAGTTGGGGCTGGTGTAGCTGCATAAAATAAATCCTGTTTTGTTTTGAGCTGTAGCAAAATAAAACTCGAGTGTTTTGTGTTCTACTGATGTAAAATCTGAACTGTTTTAAGTGTTCTGGTCATACAAAATTGTAGGAATTTGAGACCAGCTGCAGTTCCCTTGCTTTTCATCCCAGGTCTTCAAGAAAAAGCAGTGTTAATCTCTGCTGAGGATCTACCTGGCAATCAGACTCCAGAAAAATTGTGTGAGGGGATGGTTTTTAAAACATTTTTGAAACCATTAAAAGAATTTTCAGTAGGAAACAAAAAAAAAACCCTGCTCTACTCTCACCCACTGAAAAGTCTTCTTAGGTGAGAATCTGTTTTCAAAAAATCTCCCCCCGCCAAAAAAAAGAGAAAAAACAGAAGTGTTTTCAGGTTAAGTAAATCTGGGTTGCACAGCCAACAGATTATAAAACAAAGGGAATAGTTAGTCTCTTTAATATTCTTTTCAATTAACACATTTCCCCTATGACATTTTCCTAATGTTTTGATTTAAAAAATCTTTTGGACTATTTTTTCTGAAGCTACTAATACCTGACTTACTTAGGAAGTCTAAACAACAGATTTGATAAACTTACGTTGTAACCTACTTGCCAGTCACAAGCCCTACTCAAACATTTCTCAGTACTGATGTTTTTGTTTACTCACAGGGATGGTTGCTAGCGGCAAGGGAAAAAAATGCAGTTCATGCACTTGTCCAGGAAGTTGCCAAGGGTCAGGAAAGACTCAAAGGCACACATAATAACCCACATGCTTCTTAATTACATTAATAATTTTACAACAGTAAGATAAGAACTTATGAAAAATGCACACACATTCCAAAGCTCAACAAATGTATCCAAATTAACATAGAATCTTTTCAGTATTAAATGCACATTGAAGTTCCACATCAGCATTGCATAGAGCATGTGCAGAATGCACAGGCATGCCAAAATTTTTAACAACCAAGCCAAGATGATCAGTGTTAAGGACAAAAAGGTTTAAAGCAGAGGACCCAGAGCTATGGGTGAAAGCAATTCTTGCTTCCGTGCGACTAAATAAACTGCCTTTACCATAGCAGGATGTCTGGTACTCTAAATCTTTTTTTCTTTCCTTTTTTTTTTTTTTTTAATAAACACTAGCTCCTGCTGCTCTACTGAGTAAGCATGAAAAAGTTTGAAAGAAGCAGTCCAGTCATAAGCCACAAAACAAATCTGTATTGTGAGACCCCCAAAGAACATCTGTTGTGTGGTATTTTATATAACTTATGGTGCTTCTTAATTTTATAAATTGGGAAAGAAGAAAATAAAAGAAGTGTTAAAAGTTTTTCAGATTTTAATTGGATTCTTTTTAAAGACTCATTAATGTATGCACGCACACACATACACAAATGAACAGCCTTGTGTTCAGTTCATGAGTCTGGATTTTCAACCTTTTTCAAGAAATCTGCTTTGAACATCTGATACTATATGAGAGATGTGCCTGTAAGTAAGGAAAGAAGAGTATTGGAGGTCATGCCACTCTTTTCATTTCTTGTACAACATTCATTCCCTTAGCCAACTAAGTAATAGTTCCTCTTTTTCAGAATTGGCACATAACTGAGCACTTTCATAACTGTGAGGGTAACTATTGACACAGTTGCACTGAGCTGAAGTTATTTCAGCTTTCATACAGAATGTAAATTTTGGATAATTCGTTTCTACTGCATACTCATAAGAAACGGTTTCAGTGCTTAAACTGAAAACATTTTTCAGACTAATAGCAGTAAATATCAGCAGACTAATATCAGCAGTAAAAAATCAGTGGAGTGAAGCTGTTCAATCAATGTCGGAAGTACAAAGGAAAATGGTGTGGAGTTGTTTAAGATGC